CACTCCCACCCTGACAGACTTATTCCCCACGCCCTTCCTCCCTGCTATCATTTCTAATAGAGTTTCAGCAGTTCCCTCCCATGATCTTAAAAAGCCCTCTCTTTTCTCCTTAGCCCACCTTTCCTCTTAAGTCTAAACTTAACCATCCCTCTTTCCTTATCTCTCACTTATTCTTCAGCCTCAGGCCTGATTCCCTTTTCTTTCATTTCACAGTTGGAGGTGGCAAGTGGCCTTTATTTCCCAGTCCTCTTAGTTCTATGCTACTTGGGAACACTCTGCCCTTTTTGAAACACTCTTCAGGGACTTCCAGGACACATCTTACTCCTGGGTTTCCTCAGACCCTGTTCTTTCTGATCCTCCAGGTGCCCAGCAGGCATCCCTAGGTCTCCATCCCATATCCTGATGCCTTCCCCACAGCCGTCACTGTGGCGATTCTCCTAAACTCCAGACATGAACTTCCAGCTCTCTGATTCCTGATATCATTTGCTTTGTCTCAAAAATGCCTTAAACTCAACATGCCCAACCCCACTCCCCCCCCCCAACCAAAGCCAACACCCCATGGCCTTTGAGAGCCTTGAAACCTTTCACATAGTGGCCACCCATCTTTTTGTCTGTCCAAGCACTTTAATCTCTGGATCTCTGGAAGAAGTGGAGGCAGGGGTGCCTCCACTCTTGGCGCTCTAGTTCACGTGCTGAGACCTTTCAGTGATTTAGCTTTGCTGCTAAGGCTTGTAACCCTCCATGTGGTCCTGATTGATGTGGCACACCTCTCCCTCCAGCGGTTTCTGAATTTTAGTTTTTCAAATATGCTTTGTACCTTCCCCATCTGCCTCCATACACTGCCCTAACTCCCACTCAGCTAGCATATCACTTCCACAAAGAAATCGTCCCTTCTCTCCCATCCACACCTCCAGTCATATCAGTCCCAAGGCACATGACAGACATGTCTTCAAAACTATTTGTTAACTATGTAAACCAAAGACCACAAATTAGTAACGTGAAAAATACAGACCCAGGAATGAACCAGAACCTACCTGTCAGGTGGAGTACCCAGCTCAAAGTGGTTGTCAGTGACAGCAAGTTCCTGTCTCTGCTTTGTCCCATTGCTCAGTCAGTTCTAATGAGAGCCTGCCTATGTGGTTGCGAAGGAGGATTATGCCATTAGACAAGTCACTGGTTGCTTCAGTGACTAAATGAGATCCTAGAAAGTGTTCTGTGTTAATTATGAATTGTCAAATAGAAGACATAATAGTTACCATCTTGTTTTATTACCCTTTAACAAACAGAAATAAGTTGCTACATGATAACCTGGTTAAATTACAGAACACAGAAGGAAGTGAGTATAGAAGACTTTTTTTCCTAACTTAACTGTCTGAACTGTAACTGCCTGTTCTTTTTCACAGGGTTCAGAATCTCCCATGATGATTGGCGAGTTAAGAAGTGACCTTGACGATGTCGATCCTTAGAGGAGAATGTCTGGCACCTGAGAAGACTAGGTGCTCAGCGCCTTTTGGAAACCGGAATCTCATCCTTGAAACCCTTAGAAGAGCCTGGAGACTGTCCTGGGAGAGCTGGAGGACTGTGTTCTTAGAGGAAGCGCTCTTTGGGCGTGAGAAGACAGGAGGCTGCGGTGGTGACAGAGCTCCAGCTGTGGACCAGCTGCCCAGCAGCCACAGGACCACATGCAGATTGACTTTTTTTTTCCCTTGGAGATTTTAGGAAATAAAGCTGGTGGCAGACTTTTGTTACATGAACGTACAAGAGTGAGGGTAAAGTTGTTGCTTTCTCTATGATGCAACAAAAGAAATTCCTCTGGTTTTTATATTTTAAAAAAATAGCAAGCTGCCTTTAGGTATGCAGGGGCAAATTTTTAATCCAGTAACATCGAGTAAGAAATCCAATTTAAAATGATGTAAAGTGATGTGGTAGAATTCCTTTTCATTGTAAAATAGTAGTTGAAGAATTCAGTTTACACAGACCTTTATATTTAATATGTCTCCTTCTTTGTATAGAATTTCCAGTGGGTCTGGTTGAGAACCCTGCTTGGACCTTGATGAAATGTTACCAGGATCAAAAATTGGGAAATTATTAAGCTCTTTAAGGTATTTTCTGATATGATTTAGATTAAAAAGAGCAATAAAAAAACTACATTCTCCATAAGTACAAGGTGCATTCTTTGACATCTGTCACTAAAGAAATTACACAAGTTGTCCCTAAAACAAATTTTAAAAACAGCAAAATAAAAAGCACTTTAAGATAAAATTTATTGAGTTTGACTTCATAAAATTCTTTTTATTGCTTGGAGACATATTGAATAAACTGTAGTCTTAAATTATGTGATCCCACAATCATTTGTTTTTTCTTAAAAACATAATTACTGAAGCCTGTGGCAATGGTGTATGGGAAGTTAATATCCTAGTTGGGAAACACTGCTTTGTGAGCTTCATCATAATTTTAACACAGGAAAAGGAACTTGAGACTTTCTTTCTCCTCCAGATGACTAATGAATACTGAAAAGGCAAGGTTAAGGTTTCTTTCCCTGAAATAACCAGAAAGCAATTGAACACCCATCCAGTAGTTGTACTTCCCAGGCATAGCATCACTTACTCATTTCAGGTTAAATACTGGCTCCCTTTTGGGGTGCAGATCGAGAGGGTTACACCAACCGACATTTCGTAAATTTGGTACATTTTGTGTTTTGAATTGCTCACACATTTCCAGCCCTGTTTTGCCTTTAGTTACATGTTCTGCCTTATTTTCAACTCACCATGCACAGAACTAGGGGAACCTTAGGAAGTGCCAGGTTGCCACTGTCAGATTTGCCAAGTCAAAGAGGCGCCGTCAGCCCCAAAGTGCCTTTTTGGTTGCTTTTGCATTTGTGGGGACATGTGACAGGGCAGACAGCTTTCATTGCTGTGCAGTTTCAGTAACCCTTCGTTTCATTGTTCAACTGTAGAAGTTCCTGTAGGTCAGGCTTCAGTGTGTAATTCTATAACTACTGCAGTCTAGTGGTGGCTTTTGTCAAATACACAAAAAGATGAAAGGGCCAGCGTTTAAGAGCAGAACCATGCCTCAGAGAAACAGGCACAAAATGGCAAATTTGGTATGGTTCTTGTGTTTTTACGATTTTGAATGTGATTTTCAAAAATTGATTTTGAATACCTGAATACCCTATGTCCTACTGTTTTCCTCTTCACCCCATCTCCAACAACCTCCTCTCCGTGCCCCTTGAAGAAAGATTGTGTAGGACATGCATTAAAATGCTGGTGATGATGCACGTTGGGATATCATCGCTGGCAGCTGCACTCTCAGGAGCCCAAATTCAGGAGTGAAGTTTCCACTTCTAGTCCCCTTATTTCCTATGGAAACGACGCCTTCTGCCCTCCCTCGCACCTCTGTCCTCGTGAAACTGCATCAGGATCGTTGTCACTCTAGCTTTGGTTCATTTTGTTATGTTGCTGCTGCAATGAGCATCGATTCCACTTTGCCAGTAACCATTTGATTTCCAATGGCTGCAGTCAACAAACTTGCTGGGGACTTTTTTATTGTACCACAAAGTGACAATTGTGACAGGCTTGCCTTGGAAGAGTTGTCATTTTTACTGCCAATTTTTTGGATGAAGATGTTTTTATAATCTTTCACTATGGTCTGCAAATCAAGCAGGAATTGCACAATTGACTCAATGCTGTGTGTTCTCAAGAACTTTCTTTGGCCCAGGCTGACTTTGGGACAGCCCTTGAAGTCCTGCCCCTTGAAGGCATCCTGGGACCAAGAGGTGAGCATCCCCGAGGGCAGCTCACCTGGGACTTTCCCGGCAGACTCACCTGGTCACTGACCTCTAGAGCGCCATCAGTCTCCCCCAGCTTGCCCCACCCTCCCTGCTAACATCAAGGTGTGTGCAGTACCTTTTGAGCTTGGAACAAGCAGACTGGAATTTTCCGCTGCTACCTCTTGTGTATAAAATCTTGTTTATAAACTTTCAAAAGGAAGTAGATAAACTAGGGTTGAATCTTAATTCTAAATTTGGTTCATGCGTGGCAGAGTTCTTAGCTTCTAAGATTATAAAATAAAATTTTTCAAAAATGTGGAGTTGGAGTTTCACCAACATTTTTTCACCAAATATCAGACACAGCCAGTGGGGGCGCACATGGGTCCATCCTGGTGCCGACTGGTGCTGTGGGTCTTCTGAGCCTTTCACCATCTTTCCTCATTTTTCACATCCTGTGTTGCTCACCTGGGTCTCCTCCCATGCACTATTGTAGATCTTCCCTGTTCCTGGTGACCAGCTGTCAACCATCTGCAAGATGGACTTGTTTCCCCCTCTCAAGCCACAAACTGTTAGGGTGTGGGTATCAAACCATCTAACTCACAATCCCATGCCATCCTAGGCAGGGAGTGGGTGTCTTCAGACCTCACAGCAGCATAGGTGCCTGTGAACCCAGGTGCACAGTTCTGGCCTTCAAGCCATTAGCATCTGTTTCTACAGACAACACTGAATTGTCCGGAAACAATTGGGGAGGATTTTTGCCTTTGTAGTAGATTCCTCATTTATTACATGGGCTTTGTAGAGCCATATCTTATCTAAGATGGTGACACATCAACCTCAGCAGGGGGCTGGGAGATCCTACACTGAATGGGATAATTACATTTTGCAAACTGGAAAGAGATCTGACAAGTCAGGAACAACCATCATGGACAAGCACTAGCTGCACACTTAAGACAAGAGCTTCCATAAACTGCTAGGCTGCTGCTAGGAGAAGATGGAAATGTCAGTGGGAGTCCAGGGCTCAGTGGACATGGGCAGCAGGACATCTAGAATGTTGTAAGGGGCAGGGCATCCTGACTAGTTGGGTCCAGGGAAATTTCTGGAAGATATTCATGCATTCCTAGGAGAGGCACAAGGAATAAGTTCACTCTGCAGTACTCATCCAATACCATTCATCACTTCATTTAACATACCAACCAGTGCCCGGTATAAGCAAAACTGTCCTAGGCCAGAGTCCAGTCCAGAATCCTGACAATGTTGCTTTTATTTTAAAAAGTCACCACATAGTAAAAATGCTACAAAACCCAGAATAAATATCAAATTACAAAAGCAAAACAGATCTGGAAAAGTTCCTTGCTATATAAAGGCAACAGAGAAGAGCCCCCAAAGCTAGACGAGCTTATTTGTTTGGGTGGGTGGGGCGGGGCAGTGCTCAGGGAAGGACAGTCACTGGGCTACTTGACTGACCTCCACACCAGGCCACAGCGGAGGCCCTTGTCCACAGCAAGCAGGGTGCAGACACCTTCACCTTTGTAGCCTCACTGTTATCTATAAAATTGAGGAGCCCAGCCTGGTACACTGAAAACAGGCTTGGCTTCTAGCCAGATGGCTCTGGGTTCATATCCTGGTACCACTTCACTTCCTGGCTGTGCAAGGCTGGCAGGTACTCCCACTTTCATTTCTAGTGTCTTCTTTCATAAAGTAGGAGTGCCAGTACAGGGCAGTAGAGGGGGTCTGATGATGGGGCATGTATCATGTGGCCCTCCACTGCAAATCGAAAAGCTGGTCCTGGGGTGGTGGCTCACTGTAGGTGATACTGGGCAGTTACAAAGTCTAAGACGGAGCACAGTGAGGGCGGCTGGAAGAAGCTGAGGCATGGCCTGTGTTAACCAGGAGCCTCTGTCTCCACCCTCTGCCTGAACCTCACTCCACTCCCATCCCCAGAACATGTGGGATATGACCCTTATTCATCAGGGACCCCAGGGGCTTCTCTAAAGAGAGCAGGCAGTAAAGGACCTCCAACACCCTCACCCTCGCTGCCCCAGGCTGATACTTGGCCCCATCCAGCCCCCAAGGGAGGACTGAGGGCCTGGCACCAGCAAGAGAGCTCTAGAAGGTAACTGCCATGGAGGGGGGGTGATACCTTGGGAGCAGCTGGCAGAGCCGAGCACAACTTAACCCGCTTTGATGATGTATTAAAGGCCATCTCTGCTCCCCCAGTGAAGGAGGGACTTCCCTGCACCTCTATGGGGAGGAGGGTCCAGGGAGAGACGCTGAGTTCTCCCAGGCAAGGAGCACCCCACCCCTGGCCAGTGCCAGCAGGGCCAGGCTGGTAGAGCTGTTTCATCCACTTAGCACCCAGTCCTTGGCCCCCACCCGGGCATCCATGCTGGCCTGGGCTTTCACTGTAGTTCCTGGGAGGCCTGGCCTGGGGGCTGGCTCCGACAGCAGATGGCAGTGGCTATTGTGGCCTCCTCACTGGTCCTGCCTGCAGTGTCCATGTCGCAGCTCCTCACCACACACGTGTTGTCCACAGCATAGGCTCCCAGGATGGGGGAGGCCCCCGGGAGGGCATTGCAGCCAGTCAGGGTCCAGCCCTCTTCACAGGCCACAGTGACCTGACATAGCCCAGGGAGAAGAAAGCGTAAATTCAGCAACGCAGGCCACGCCCCCACTTCACTTCTCCTTCCCAACAGCCCCAGTGGGGGCCGAGACAGACACCTCTGGCTCTGGGCCAGCTGGAGCGCCATGCTGCACCTCCTCACAGTGGGTCTGCATCCCAACACCCGCTTCTGCTCCACACCTGATCTTCAGGGCACAGGGGAACCTCCACAGTGTCCACTCTCCACCTGCCCCTTGAGTGCCTTTTCCACCCCATTTCACAGCAACTCCATCTGTCCAGTAGCCCAACAAAACCTCAACCATCCTCCACCCCTCCCCCTACACCATCCACCACACCCACGAGCGCCTCCTGCAGGCCCCATGTCCCTCCACATTTCCCACCAGCCTGAGCCCCACCTCCTAGGCCTGGACCATGGCAAGAGCCACCCTTTATTCTCCCTGCTTTTGCTAATGTCCCCTGAAGTTTCTTCTCAGCTTGGGGACCAGAGTGAACCTGTCCAAACCCAGGTCAGATCACCCCTGACCCTAGACACAGCACTGCATGGTTCTCAGGCTACTCAGCAAAAACTGAGACCTGACTGTGGCCTTGAAGCCCGAAGTGACCTTGCTGTGTCGTCTCTGAGCCTCTCCCCTCCATTGCTAACTCTGCTGCTGCCTCATGGGCCTTCAGATGTTCCTGGTGGTCCCTGGGCCTGCTCCCCCTTTACTCTGCTGCTCCTCTGCCTGGTGTCCTCGTGGCTTGTCCTCTCCACCAGCTCAGTGAGGGCTCCGATGCCTTCCCACCCATTCCCTGGCCTGCTTCACTTCTGTCCACCTCGTGGACGGTACCTTAGCTGACTAAACTACCTGGACTAGAACATACACTCCAGGTGGGGAAGCAGGAGTGTTTACCTGTCTGTCTGGCCAGCTGGCCATCTGTTTGTCTGTCTCCCCAATGCCTGGAGTAGCACCTGGAGCTAGCACCTTACCTGTGCACACCCAGAGGATGGATCTGACCCCATCCCTGCCCTCAAGGATGCACCATCAGACTGCAGTCTCTTCACACTGCATCTTACAATGTGGCTAAGCTCCCCTAGGAGTGGGCTTTGGATGCCTGGCCCCTGGGGCCCTGCTGAAGGAGCTGCCCAGAGCCCTGGGGCCACCCTGCCTTGGCTCACCAAGCCAAGCTCTCAGCTCTGGCCTCATCCCACGCCTCGACCTCTTGGCAGGGCTCTCCTCACTCCTCAACCTTCAGGTGTCCCCTCCTCTGAATCCTAGGCTGAGTCACCTCTGTGTCCTCAGAGTCCAGTGGGGCTCTTGTCCTACAGCAACCTCTCGGTTTGCTAAGTTGATCCATCCATCATGTGCACACACCGCCTCTCTTCATATCATATTTATGCATATCCTCCTCAAAGAGGAGCAGGGGCCCAGGCAGCAAGCCTTACTAATCTGGATAAGAGCAGAAACAGCCCCCCACAAGAACTTCACAGAACAGATACATCCACCCTGAGGGACCCCAAGCACCCACCCCACCCCCACATCTCCTCACCTGCTCTGCAGGGCCCAGGACCCCATGATCCTTGACTTTGCACTCCAGGCCTGGGGCACGGCAGCAAGAAGCATGGACACTGGCCTCCTTGTGGCCCACACACTGGTCAGACTGCCCTCCAGGCCTCTGCCCAGGTCGTCTGTGGGTGCCAATATCTGATATCTCCCAGTGAGAACTGCAGCCTGGGGCAGAAGAGAGAAAATTCAGATGCTGGAATTTTGGGGAACGCTCTTGCTGTCCCAGACTGGATCCCATCTCCTTGGAGTCTGAGGCTGGGAAAACCCAGAAGCAGCTCAGAGTACAAAAAGAACTGCTGGCCTGAGCAACAGGATTTCTAAGGTCGTAGCTCAACTCTGCTGCTGATCTGTTATGTGGCCCTGGGAGATCTGTCAACCTCTCTGAGCCTCAGTTGATCAAGAAAACAGTCTATTCTCCATCCAGAGATGGGAAGCCTTAAGTCAGAGCTCAAAGGGCTGAGATGCTCAAACCACCCCAGGGGCCCTTCCCCATCCAACCACCAGGGAGAAGTTCAGGGGAGAGCTTAGAGCTTCCTGGACCACCTAGGGGACCCCCTCCATGGACTGGGGAGTCAGACACACCCACTGGCTACCCAGCCATGGGTAGCGGTCACTCAGCTAACTGAGCCTCAGTTTTCCTATTTGTAAAATGGCCAGAGGAATAGCAACACCTCACTGGGAACCTGTGAAGATGTAGTGAGAATACACATGTGAAGTCCCCGCAGGATGTCTAGCATGTGACAATGCTCTGCACAAGTCTCAGGGTCATTGTGACTAGAGCTCTGTGTCTGAGATGCATGAACTTAGGGAAGTCACTAAGTATGTCTACTCGGGCTCTTAGCTGCAAAATGGGACTCTATGGGATATGTTTCATAGACAGAGAGAGTCTATGGCTCTCATGACTGCAAATTGGCACATGCCCTTGGGCTTATCTGCTGGGCATCCCCAAAGGGGAAGGCAAGTGGCACATTCTGGGTGGTACAGTGGAGTCCCTGTGCTGGCCAAGGGCTCCAGCCACCTGACTTGGTTCCTTGTCTCACTGCAAAGCCACCCTGCACACAAGCGTGCTCTTCTGTGGGGAGCTGCCACATAGGAACCAAGCGCCCCTTAGCCTTGATGGATGAGAATGTGGAGATGTGTCGAGCCAGTCACAGGCTGTGTGTGTGTGAACTATAAGCAATGAGCACACAAAGTGGACTGAACCGACGTTGCCCCTCTGTTTGAATGGGCCTTGCTCTGGTCTTTTTGCTTGCTCTGCCCTGATCCCCACACAGCTCATGACATGGGTGTGGCCTTCCTAAATGTCAGTCAATCTGCTGACAACAGATGTCAGGAAGCTAGACTCAACCCCCTGAAACCTGACCCCTTGCCTCATTTGAATGGTTTCTTCCCAATAAAAGGGTTCAGCATGTCCTCCTTGCTCTCTTTCCATGGACCCCTAAGGTCAGAGGAGCCGTCACAAGACCCAAAGAAGAAGGTATTTCTCTGTCTTTGTGTGTCATTTCATGCAGCCCAGTTCACCTGGAGTGACTTTGAGCGTTTAGCTGTGAGAGCCAGGTCCTAGCCCTATTTTCTCCTGTACCTAAACCTTTAGTGACTCCCTAGTATAAAATTGAGTATCAATTCTTGAGCTAGTTATTCCAGATGGCTCCCCTCTGTCCCAAAACCCTCCTTGGAACACTGATGCTCCATTAAAATAGAACACTTCAGCTATCTCCCAACTAGAGGGCCATCATCCCTCACTCCCATACAAGCTCCCCATCTATAACTTCCTGCTACCCTCCTGGGCACGTTTGTGACCATGGCCCATGAATGGGTACCTATACCAGAGAATGCATTTTAAATCAGTGAGTGATGACAATCATAACAATAGCTAGAGATTCAAGATGGCGGGCTAGAAGAAGGCTGCATTCCTAGTTGCTCTGTGGCTCAGGATTTAAGCAGCAGAAATACTGCTTCTCTGAGAGGCAGATGAAAGAGCATATCACTAAGCCTCAATATTGGATAGTCAAAGTGACTTACAGACTCAGAAATTTGGGTATTAAACAAAGAAGAAGAATACATTGAAGCCAAGTCAGTTGCAGCAGCAGTAGCAGCAGCACCAATAGAAAAACGGATCAGCGGAGAGGGAGGGAGAATTCTGAGAAACACAATGGACAAATTTAATATGGAAAAACCTGAGATCAGAAAAGAAGACTGCCCTTAGCTAATTAAGAGGCTGCACTGTGCACTGGTGCTTGAAAAGAGTTCTGTGTTTACCAACTGACCACAGAGAGCTAAGGTGGTGCCATCTTGAGGCAGTCATGTTTGCAGAAACCTTGCAGGAGACAGGAGATCAGAGCAAACACTGCCTCACTGCCCTGGCAAGCACTTACCATGTGGCCTAGGGGGTACCTAGCAGAATGGGAACAAAACAGGAACAGAAAATATTTTACCAGGGGTACTCAAGTCAGAAAAGTGAAGGCAGGAGCCCAACGCCCTTCCCCTTTGAGTCTGGTGGCTCACGTGACCAGCTGATGTGGGTTGGGAATCTGAACAGGCAGGTGTGAATGTACTCAGGGACTAGGCCTGGGAAGCCTGGGAAGGGTGTATTTGTGAGAAGCAGAGGGGTGAAGGATTGGCTCCCTTGCCCCATGAGTAGAATCCTTGGGAGGCTCCTGAGATCCAGATTCCCAGAAGAGATTGACAACTGCCAGGCCCCGGAATTGTGTTCCTCTAATCTCTCCTGCCAGAACTCCACTTAGAGCTCTTCAGTGGCCCTCCTGGGAACATACCCATCTGGTCTGTGCAAACAAAACTCCAACTGACAGTGCCATTCCATCCTACCTTATACTGGAGAGAAGGGAAGCTGAGAATTATTTGAACCAGGTTTGGTCTTAAGCTACTCTAACAGGCAGCATGGTGAGCAACACAGAAAGAGGAAGGGGAGCCCTTACTCCACTCTCAGTACGTAGCTCAAGAAGAAAGAGAAAGAAAAACAATCAGGCATAGACAGGGACCATCTATTCTCGTTGACTATTTTGACCAGTGAGACAATACCTTCATTACCTTCATTTTCCAATAAGAAACTTCTCTCTCTCTCTCTCTCTCTCTCTCTCTCTTTGTCTCTCTCTCATTTTGTTTTATTTTGTTTTGTGTTTGTGTGTTGTTTCTTCTGTGCTAATTGGTATACGGACATATATTCATATACATATACATATTTGGGTTTCTCATTTTTAGCATTTTTTTAATGTAGTTTTTTTTCTTTGCCTTGTACTTTGAGGGTTAGGGTTTTTGCTTAGCATGTTTTGGCTTGGTTTTGTATTGTTTTTGTTTGTTTTTTTCTCATTTCTCTTTGTATCTTCTACTAGAAGCCAAATTCTCTCTTTTCTCTCTCACTCTACTTGGTTACCTCTATTTTTTTCTTCTCCTTCCTTTCCTCCATCACCTGCTACATCTCTTCTGCATTCTCTTCGTTCACTTTTTTCAACTGAAAAACCTTCTCTACCTTCTTATCACATTTTTTTTCTTAATTAACTGTATTCTTACCATCTTTTAGCACTAATTGGCTTACATACCCCTGCCCCCAACATTAATGCTGTTGCAATTATACTGCTATGGCTGACAGAGTTGACACCTATTGTTTGGTTTAAAGACAGATATAATTCATGGCTACTTATTGTTTTTGCTGTTGGCAACTGTTGATGCCACCATTTCTGGTTTTTCATAGCAATTAATAAAGTAGATGTCTTAGTAGGAACTGGGTATTTATTTTAATGCTGTATATTGTTGGCATTAATTGTTGCTATTGTTTGTACCCCACTAATCTGTGAGATGCTGGGGAACTATGGGGACACTACTAGTTCACAGGGTGAGGACTCTTCTGATGAACTAAACTCAAACAAAAGACAGCGTACCTTGCTCTGCACATATATCGATGACACTCAGTCTTCAGCTATACTTTAACACAAAAAACAGAGAAAAATAACACAAAGGCTGTGGATACTGTACCTCCAACAGGGTCTCAATCTAGATCCTCTAAGGCACTGTGGAGGTGAAGACTGTACCCTAAAAAGGCCCACACATAAGAGTGGAAGAGAAATAACTCCAAACAGATACATAAATCCCACACAGGAATACAACAATATGAAAATAAAAGCTAACACCTCTTTAACTTTATAATTCACCAGAAAATGACCCTCCAAATATTGAAGTAAATGAAATATCAGATAAGGAATTTTTTTTAAAAAATCATTATCAAAATTATCAATGAATTCCAAGAGAACACAGAAAAACAACTGAATGAATTAAGAAAACCAGTACAGAATATGAATGACAAATTCTATAAGGAGATAGAAATGTTTGAAAAAGAACCAAACAGAAGCCATGGAAATGAAAGACACAATAAATTAAAGAAGATGTTCAGTGGAAAGTCTCTCTAACAGAGGAGCCCATGCTGAAGACAGAATCTCAGAGTTGGAAGACAAAGTGCCCAGCTTTGAACATTCAGACCATATAAATAAATAAATAAATAAATAGGCCTGACCAGAACATACAAGAACTCTGGTACAACATAAAGAGACCAAATTTAAGAATTGAGAAGGTTTGTGAAATGTGGGTTGATACATTCATACTCTTCAGGGAAATGATTACAGAAAAGTTTCAAAGCCTTCAGAATGAGATGGACATCTAGATAGAGGAGGGATTCATATTTCCAAATACACAAGGCAAAGAAGAACCTCTCCATGACACATGGTAATTGAAATACCTAGTAGAGTGAACAAGGATATAATTTTTAAAGTCTCAAGAGAAAAACATCAGTTCTCAGTTAGAGGCAAGCCAATTAGAATCACTTCTGATTTCTCAGCACAAACTACAAGCCAGGAGGACTTGGAACAATGTGTTCCAAGTCCTGAAAGAAAACAACTGTCAGCCAAGACTGCTACATGCAGCAAAGTTATCCTTCAGAATCAAAGATGAATTAAGAACCCTCCAAAATAACCAGAAAATAAAGGAATTCATGACAACTAAACCAGCACTACAGAACTTACTTAAATAAATACTTCACACAGAAGAAATAAAAAAAATAGACCTCAAAGTTCACAATTGACAAATCTCATTGAGAACTAGCTAAACAAATGAGAAACAGGATCAAACTAAGCATTATAAATAAATCAAAATGGTAA